GCCTTCCTGCCCTCCCCGGCCGCGCTCCGCAGGGCCGCGGTGAAGCACTGATCGAGAAGACCTGAGGTAGAGCCAAGGGAGGGTCGGGTAAACCCCGCGCCGGCCGCAGGGGCAGGCGCCGCAGGACGAGGCAATGGAGGATGCCGCTGCTCGGCCTGGTGCGGAGGGGAAACCACATCCAGGCTTCCCCCTTCTACAGGGCATCCAGAGTATCCGAGTTCCAGTGAGGCTGGGCGGGGCAACGGTCAGCACAACTCGCTGCCCTTGTCTGTCAACCTAGACATCGTTCATAACCTGTGACCGTTACCAGCCTAAGACACTGCTGAGCCAGATGTTCTGCCTGAGGGAACTGGCCTCCCCACTCCTAAGATGAAACTCCAATAAGATGGGAGGGTGCAAAGCAGGAGGAAACAGGATTTGTACGTTAGCCTCTACTTCGCTTAAGAGGATGGCTAAAGAAATAAACCCGTTACCCTCTGCCATCCAGATTTGGTATCTGGAGGAGCACCTATCACCTGGATGCTTTTAATGCTTTACGAAAGTGGCATCCCTTGCTGCAGTATATACAGCTTTACACATAAACAATTAAAGTTACACTTTTCTGATTTATTAAAAACCCCAGGGAAACCTTCAGTTCCTCACAAGTCATTCTGAAGTTATTTTAAATTCATTTTGGTCATACAGCAGAAAACTGCCTAGCCACCAGAAAGCATCAACTCCAGAGGAGGGACGCTCAGGGAGTATTAAAGTCACCAGGTATATCATATTTAGCGTTAACTGCAGGGCAAAACTACAGACATTCAAAGGTCTAGTCCATTGCCAAAGAACAACCCCTACGATCCCTAGAAAAAAAAAGTAAGAGCTTCACCAGCCACATCCCTCTCTAGCTGCAGGTACAAACAGTGCACCAACTGCAACAAAGCATCACCAATATACTGGTACTGGACAGACACTAGCTCAGAAAAAAAAAAAAAAGAGTCAAAAAAAACCTAAAGTGCTTAAGGCAATTCTTCATATCCCCATTTACTAGAAACAATTGGACTAGCTGTTAGCAGCAAAAATTTGACATCTGTGCAAACTATTATATAACAAATTTATCTTTTAAGCATAAAAAGTCACATATTAAGTTCATCTAGGACATCAGTTAAAACTTGCAAGTCACAGGTCACAGTATTAAATACTTCAAGCTTTCTTCTATGTGTTAAATTACATTTTGATGTGTGCATATCAAATTTACCTTGCTGGTTGCACAACATCTTGCTAGAAAAGCTTCATCACTTAAATGCTGTTACAAATCGTTTGAGATTACTCATGGTTCTTTCTCACCACACATTAACTTACTGAACATCCTCTTTCAAGAAAGGGGAAATTTAAATAGGAACTGTAGCTGAACACCCAAGATGAAGCAAACAACTGGGCAGTGTGAATAGGTACTAGCCTATTTCAATGTCTGTTTACCAGAGTCACTCAGTAGAACAAGTCCCAAAATAAGAAGCATCCATCCTAACCATCCTCAGTCTAACCACCACCAGGGTCCAGGCATGCAATCCTCACATACCACTGAACTGATAGAAGAGCCCCTAAACATCCAGTCAGGCGTTCATTGCAGTAAAAATGAAAGTGAGGAAGAAATATTTAAGATTACTACACAGACTATGTGAACAACAACAGCAACATCTGTAGATAATGTGTGAAAGATTCAGACACTGTTGATTTTAAAACCATGTCACCTTCCAGTATTTTTGTTTCAAGACCCAACACACTAAACTGGTAGAGGAAGGTACAGTTAAACTGTGAATAGTTTTGCGCTTTCCTCTGTAAGAAAGATTACAGCCAACTTTGTTCAAAATGCAAATACTTAGAAATGTTCAAGTTCCAGATATGAAATGAACATTAGGGGCTCAACAGTCCTGTCAGCTTCATGATTTCTCAAGGGAAACAAAACCTTCTGGAGTAGGTATTAGGGGAAAAAAAATTAACTTTTCCACTGCACATCACAACCAGTTTATTACTTTTAAGGAATTTCTCCTCCTCTTGAGAAATCTTGAGAGATGCAAAGGATCCATTGATACTAACAAAAATTTAACACAATTAGGTGGTCATGCTTTTTTATGGACTGAGAGATACACAAAAGAAAAAAATTGACCCCTTTCCTATTTTGGACCTGTAGGAAAGGAGCCAATTCATTATGGACCCTATCAACACGAATTAGAAACAGCTTTCAGGTGATACCAGTTAAGAAATCTTCACTTAGGAAACAGTCAATTCAACTGTATTTCTGAAAATTGCTCCTGGGCTTGATTAGAGGGAAGAAAGCAAATTTAAACAATCTACAACACACAAGTTATTCTCATAGAAAAGCTGAGATTTTCCATGAAGAATGTAACACGATTTATTTTTTTTTTAGCTCTCTCACTGTTATGAGTCATTTGACTGTGTTTACTAAGCTTCCAACTAGAAATTGAGATGATGGAACACTAAGGCTCAACATTTCATTTGATTGCGAAAGAAAATGTAAACCTGCAGATCCAGCAGCAGATTATGTTAGCTGAGAAAGCATTTGCTCACGTTCTACTTTTTCCTTGCCCTTAAAAAAAGGAAATGCCTTAAGTTGGAAGCTATAAAGAGATCCTTTAGAATATGATCATAGAATAGTTAGGGTTGGAAAGGACTTTAAGATCATCTAGTTCCAACCCCCCTGCCATGGGCAGGGACACCTCACACTAGACCGTGTCGCCAAAGGCTCTGTCCAACCTGGCCTTGAACACTGCCAGAGATGGAGCATTCACAACTTCCTTGGGCAACCCATTCCAGTGCCTCACCACCCTCACTGTAAGGAACTGCTTCCTTACATCTAACCTGAACTTCCCCTGTTTAAGTTTGAAGCCATTACCCCTTGTTTGAGTTGTGAAACCCTTCCCCCCTTGCCCTACCACTACAGTCCCTGTTGAAGAGTCCCTCCCCAGCATCCTTAGGCCCCTCTGTGATACTGGAAGGCTGCTGTGAGGTCTCCCCAGAGCCTTCTCTTCTCCAGGCTGAACAGCCCCAACTTTCTCAGCCTGTTTTCATATGAGAGGTGTTCCAGCCTCCTGATGATCCTCGTGGCCCTCCTTTGGACTTGCCCCAACATCTCCTGGTCACACTCCTTTTGGTGCAGCCCAGGGTACGGTTGGTTTCAGGGCTGCAAGCGCATGCTGAAGCCAGCTCATGTCAAGCTTCTCATCAATCACCACCCCCAAGTCCTTCTCTGCAGGGCTGCTCTGAATCTCTTCTCCACCCAGCCTGTAGCTGTGCCTGGGATTGCCCCGACCCAGGTGTAGGACCTTGCACTTGTCTTGGTTAAACTTCATGAGGTTGGCACTGGCCCACCTCACAAGCCTGTCCAGGTCCCTCTGGATCCCATCCCTTCCCTCCAGCATATCAACCGAGCCACACAGCTTGGCGTCATCGGCAAACCTGCTGAGGGCGCACTCAATCCCACTGTCCATGTCACCGACAAAGATGTTGAACAAGACAGGTCCCAACACCGATCCCTGAGGAACACCACTTGTTACTGGTCTCCAGCTGGACATTGAGCTGTTGACCACAACTCCTTGTATGCAGCCATCCAGCCAGTTCTTTATCCACCAGTGCCAATTCTTTATCCACAAAGACAGTCTTATAGCCACATATACATGGCCTGTGGACCAAGGCTAGCAAGTTATGCATTAGATTCCATGTTTCTGTGGGGTAAAAAAATGTCATGCAATTTTTGGAGTTATCTGGTTATTCAGAAAGTTCCAGGAATCCTCACTAGGCTGGCTAGTCAAAGCAGCTAGCAAAAACGTGATCCTGGGCTCAAATAAATATCTTTTTGAAATGCATGTTTCATATCACAAGTTCTAATAGGAAGCTCAGTAATAATAAAAAATATAGTGAAGTAATTCATGTTAGGAGAGCTAAGAAAATGGTATTAATTACACTCTTCATTGAAAAAAATGTAACAAAAATATTCAAGTCCATAACAAAATGTTCAAATACAGTATTATAAAAGTACACAAGTTACAGCTTTTGCTTTCTCACTTATTTTTTTCAAATCAGCAACAGTTCAGTTTTCTGACATTTGTGTCTTGATTCACAGTATATTACTAATATGTTAGCCCCAAACCTTTGCACTGTCAGTACCCAGGCCTCAAACAACAGTAGGTAGCAAACCCAGTGTAATCTGCTGCTCACAAGCTTCTCTGAGTACCAGCTACACAGGAAAAAAAAAACCAAACCATTCAGCAACAGAAGCATTTACCAGACATTAGTAGGCAATATTGTTTAGGCTGTTTGTTGAACCACTCAATCTATTTTCACTTTTCTGGACCATGCTCACAGCACTTGGCACCTGTAATCCAGTACTCACTGTAAGCCCACCACACCAGGTCTAAGGGGAAAAAAAAATAGAAATAAAAATCAATACTCTGAACATTATGAAACATCTACATCTCTCTTCTCCCATCCCACAATGGAACTAACACAAAACTTACCCTGCAGCTGTATCTGTCTTCTCCCTTGTTCACTAGTCACAGCACTCTCTAAAACATTCTAATCATAGAAGCTAACTTTTAAGACCATAAAGTCTAAGATGCTTCACATACTATGCTTTGTTGCTCTGAGTTCATAAACAAATGTAAGATCTAATACAAAAAGTTTTCCTAACAAGAAAAGTTCTTTTAAGACCAGTGTGCTAGCAGCAAGTAGTTAGAATGACAATGAAAAGCAATACTCTTACTATGCTCCAGTGTCTGAAAGCTCATCAGATTTCTCCCGGTTTCCATATGCTTAGTTTTAGTATGACACAGCAGGATTATGCCAATTCGTGTACTATGTTTACATTAAGTTGTAAGAAGCTTCAGGGGCACAGATGCCAGTGACCTTCATTCTATAACCAAGTTACATGAAAGAATGTATCTCCATGTTTACAACTGAATTTGAGAACTGTAATTAGCTTGTCATTTTTATTTTAACTGTTCAGGCTAACCCATGTCTGTAAGACTGCTATCACCAAGTACTAGGGGCTGTAGGAGATGTGGACTAATAGGCTGAAGTGTGGTAAACAAGTGTTTCCTTGGGTGCCTTTGGAACTGACTCAAAGAGTATGTCTTCACAATGCTAGAGGGATGACTAATACATGTATCCCAACAGTTCTTAAGCTGTTAGGTTCTCCATATGTTGGAACGGATCAGTAAAGCAACTTGCTTAGTCATCTCCAAGTAAATAGCTATTAAAAGTCTAGACTGCTACTGTCAGTACATCTAACTAACAGTAGAAATTGTGAGAATTCTGTCTAATAGAAGGCAAAATCAGGTGTTTGGAAGTGCTATATAAAAGCTGCTGGGGCAAGTTATTACTCCTTCATTCCTCCTTTATGCCCAAAAGAAAAATAACTTTATTAATTGGCCTAATCACGCTTCAGAATTACCATGCTGTGTTTTCTATGGGCTGAATTATAAGAAGCTAGAGATCAGCACCTAGGCAGCTGAGTTGTTAGTATGAACTAGTATGCAAGCCTCCTCCAGGTTCCTAAGTTTTCCTAGACCTATACTCTGCACCCAGAGTATGACACACTTGATGGCAGCTTATAATGCAACTGAGGCCTCCAAATTTAGTTAAAGTTACTGAAATCATTAAAGGAAAGCCAAAATACAGTAATTAATGCTGCTTCTCTGCCTTTTTATTTTTTTTGCATTGAATTGCATTAAGTTTTCACTGATAAGCTTAGAGCCACGAAAAAGTTATGCAGACCAGTGAAACAACTGAGCTTTTAAAGACTTGAAAGCTGAGTCTTGTATCTCAGAGGGAAGTAACTGGTGTTGTTCTATCTCATGATACCTATTCTGACAGCTCGCAGCATCTTGGACTCCCACCTGCATCAGTCTGAATTAGTTACTGTAGCAGGCTCGTCAGCTACCAGAATGTGCTATTAATTTACCCTTCAAAACTTCAATGACTTTTATTTACATAGCTGAGACATCCAGGCGCAGAGTTCTCCTACTGGAGTGCTATTATAAGCACCATATGAAATCAAAGAGAACACAGTTAAACATTTTAAAGAATTATTAGTCAGCCAAAACCAGTGCTCCCAGTTTCCTCCTTTTTAAAAAATAAAACCCAAACAATTAAGTCTTCAGTAAACTAAATTTAGCGCTAGAAACCGAAGAAAATTTTATAGATACTGACCATGAAGCCTGGTAATAATGGCTGGGTAAACTTTGTTCTGAAGGTGTATAACAGCTCCTTTGAGTTTGCATTATAAAATGAGAGCTGACCTAAAAGAGACAGGAAACAAACTGAAATACATGCTTAAGTTACTATGTGTTACTGTATAATTTTTTATAATTTTATAAATTATAAATTTTTTTATAAAAAGGAAATATTTCCAGAACACACTAAATACAATGTACACGACTGAAAAGTTCTCAGTTAGTAGCTCTGTCACACAGGTGAAGTCAAGTTATTTGACATTACAAGCGTTATTACACAAACAGCTCAAGGCCTTATTTTCATAAAAGACTACCAAATCTGTAAGTAATGTACTACTTCAGCCTTGTACTGCTTCAACTTCACATAGATAGCTAAGGTTTTAGATTAAGATTATAATTTACCTCCATCAAAGTCACAGTATACTCCTACCCTGTCTGGAACAGGTATATCTAGAGTCTTGGTTTTATTACTGTGTTTAGCTGAAAGTGTAGTTTGCAGCCAGTTGTTGATATGGATACACCAGCTTGAACTAGTCTTTCCCAGCTGATCAAATTTCCCCAGGTTTCTATAGGTTACTCCCACACTGTATGACTTGCAGTCCTTTTGGGCTTTTACTTCCCAGTAATGCTGTCCACTTTCAACAGTGGTGTCTCCTACCAAAAAAAAAATAAAATTTAGTTGCTATAATTAAGTGCACTGTACAAAGCTTGCTCCCTTATAGACACCAGTGATGCCTTCTCTGTTTTACTCTAAGATGAAATACAAAAATCTGAACTATAAAGGAACAAAAAAAATTAATGTAAAAGACAATAGAATGAAAATATGAAGCAGAATGAGACAGTTCTACTTACACTCATTAAGACAAGATACACTTAGCATCAATTCCACATTTAATAGCAGTGAACATCAGTCACGAAGAGCTTTGTCATAGAGCTTCAACAGACTTGAAGACACTTGGCTGTAGCACAAGATTCTGGTGTTATGTAGGCAAAACTACCTACTGACAGCATCAAGTACACAGCCTTGAACAATCACATATCCTGATCTGCCATTCCACAGCATTATGCCTCTAAGAGAAGTAGAAAGTTCCTTACCTAACACTGTGTATGATTCACCAACAAAACGATCTCTGCTGCCCCTCGATGAGGGTCCAACAGATGTCCTCTTTGGAGACAGTGCACCACTTCTAAGAAGAAATGAATTGTTCATGATTGATGCCATTATGGAAATGCACACTCAAATTTCCCCCAGTCAATTAGGGGGCAATAAACACACATAAGCTATTGAAATGACACAGTAGTTCAGCCACTTAACACCTCTAATAACATGCATGCAGAAGACTTGAGAGAGAAGACAGCCAGAAAATATACAAGACATTGTAACAAGCAAGTTTGAAGGCAGCTAAGAAAGTAAACAGCAGGAGAAAAAAAAAAAAAAGCAGATGTGGGGCACATGGTTTGAATGAACACCTGTATAGAAGTGTTTTGCCTGTGCTACACAGAACCTTGGAGAACACGTTTCTTGACTTTCCACATTAGATTACTAAAAGTCTTGTAGACCAGCAACAATCAGGCAAGTATGAACACACCAGGCCAAAATGCCTAATTATTACTGGAATTTTAATGGCAGTGAATGAGAAAAACATCATTGTGTTAAAGGTAGGTTTTTCAGAACATGTATGGCTTGCATATGCAATGACTGAAATCCCAGGAAAAGGTGTAACCCAATGAAGACTGAAAGGAATAAAATTGTGATAATTTCATTTTAAAGTATACACGCTCAAGGGTGCTGAAGCTAAGCACAATTTATATTAAAAAGAAAAAAACCCCAAAGAAAATGAAGTGATGAAGTGAGACTTCCAGAGTTTAATGCCTCAGAACTCTCCCCCCCAAAAAAAAACCCCACAAACAAACAAAAAAACCCACAAAAAAAAAAACAACCACACAAAAAAAATAAAACACACTCGACCACAAAAAACCAAAACCACCCAAACACCAGAAAGGTGGGAGGTTTATTTGATTATATTAACTCTATCAGAGACTACAGAAAATAAGACTGTGTCACAACACATCATGCCAGGAAGCACACAGCAACTCCTCAAGAGTCATTATAAAAATTTAAGAGTCTAATCCCAATCAAGAAAGGCTCAGATTTTCTAATCATACTTTTCAAAAGCATTCTCAGGAAGCAATAGCAAAATAAATGGAGACACACTTTGCTCTGGAGAATATTCTAATGAGTAATCAGATGCATAAAAGAATAATTTTAACATAGCGAGGTTTTCAAACATTCTGTTTTACCTCAGTTATGTCCTCAAAAATAATTCCTAGCAATTTAAACATTAAAGAAAATGAAGGCTATTTGCAAATTACAGCAAAAATTACACCTCACTAGCCAGGGAATTACATCTGGTTATTATTTTAAAGGCACTTAGTAGCAAAGAACTTTAACTTCTCAGAAATAACTATGCAGTTTTTACACAGTCTACGAGAAATGGCTGATGAAAAGGTTGTCTACTTTAGCAACACCATTTACCATATAAATTTGCCAGTACTGATCAGAAGCTTCTAAACTGTCTGCAAGTTACATGAAGGGGGTAAGTATATATACTGCAGGTGCACCACATCATGCTTTTGAATTTTGTTAACATGGAAGAAGCTGTAGCTTACTTACCAAAAGTTAAAAAGTGACAGCATGAAAGAAACAAAACAGCAAAGCCAAGAATTAAAGCATAATTGCAGGGGGAGACATAACTCTTTGCAGAATCCATCTCCAGTATGAGTTATGCAGAAAGCAACGTGGCCATTTAAAGAATCACCAGAAGAAAAAATATCTGTGCTTCACTAGTATTTTCTCAAGATTAGCAAGACATTAAAACATCCTCAACATCATTTACTTTGTTCTAGTCTTCTGTAAACAGCCACTGCATGTGCTTTGTCCAATCCAAATCTAATAACCTTTAACAGTTTAGACAATGACATCAAATATTTGGCATAAAAGTTTGAAAAAAAAAAAAAAAAAAACCCTGTTGTTTTGGGTTTGTTGTTGGGTTTTTTTGTTCCTTTGTTTTTGTTTTTTTAGGGTTTTTTGTGGTTGTTGGGCAGAGAAGGGATTGAGAGCAGCTCTGAGGAGAAGGATGTGGGGGTGTTCATTGACAAGAAGCTCAACATGAGCTGACTTCAGTGTGTGCTCACAGCCCAGAAACCAACCATATCCTGGGCTGCATCAAAAGAAGTGTGACCAGAGGTCCAAGGAGGTGATCCTGCCCCTCTACTCTGCTCTCGTGAGGCCCCACCTGCAGTACTGTGTTAGCTCCTGGGCCTCCAACATAAGGATGTGGACCTGTTGGAGTGAGTCCAGAGGAGGGCCACAAAGTTGCTCACAGGGCTGGAACACCTGAGATACAGGCTGAGAGAGCTGGTCATGTTCAGCCTCGAGAAGGCTCCAGAGCAATCTTTTAGCAGCCTTTCAGAGGCTATAACCTATAATGGGTCTACAAGAAAGCTGGACAGGGACTTTTTATAAGGGCATGTAGTGACATGACAAGGGAGAATGGCTTAAATTGTCAGAGGGTAGATTTAGATTAGACAGTAGGAAAAAATTCTTTACTAGGTGGATGGCAAGACACCAAAACAGGTTGCCCAGAGAAGTTGTGGATGCCCCATCCCTGGAAGTGTTTAAGGGCAGGATGGATGGAGCTTTGAGCAACCTGGTCTAGTGGAAAGTATCCCTGCCCATGGCAGGGGGGCTGGAATTAGATGACCTTTAAGGTCCCTTCCAACCCAAACCATTCTGTGATTCCATGAAATTGATACACTTTGTGTAGCAGAGCTCAGCACTGGAGCTTCACTCCTGATACCAAATCAAAAGATAGATCCATCTGATGGATGAATAGAAAAGAGTAAAACCTACTAGAAACTAAGAATCTGAGCGCTTATTTTGGTCCCACAACTTCTAAACTAGTGAAAATGCAAGAAAGCAAAACCAGGAGAAGTAATTTCTCTATCAGGAGTTCCACTGGAAAAATTGTGGGAAAAATCCCACTAAAACCACAGTTGCACAACAAACAGGAGAGTATTTTAGCTGCTTTACATATCAAGAAGAAATGTTCTCATTTGAACAATTGGTTCCACTAGTAGAATTGCCATGAAGCTTTTCACACATGCCATTAGGCTACATTTCCTCCTCTTTGAAATTGTAAAAACATTGATTTCTTTTCATTTGATGTCTAGCAACAGTTATAGCACAAGTTCAGAGGCAAAAAGGTAACAAAAAAAACTTCAAGTTCTCAAAAGAACTCTTTATTGTGTTTGCAAAGTTTAAGTGTGACATAAGGTTAAATAAGCATCAACAGGTCTGTAACTAACAGGGATCTTTGTATCGACACTAGAATACATAATGCTCCTTCAACCATTGCAAATCAGGTCTTCTAGACACTAGGTAGGAAGCATCCTTCCAGGAATACTGTTTTCCAGTCACTGAAAAACATATACATAATCTCTGTGAATCCAAATCAGACTTCAAAATAAGTTTTAAAAGCATATGTGTATTTATTACTGATAAAGGCTATTAGAATTCTCACTACATCAAGCAAAAAAGTAGAATAGCATCCCAACAAAATCAGGTGCTAGATCCTACAAGTAAGAGGTATATTATCACCTTCTATTGCTCTTCAGGAGAAGATTCTGGCCACTGTCGACAGAAATAAATAGCCATTAAACAACTGTTCTATTACCACATTAAATTATGCTATTTTTAAGATGCAATTAAAACTTACTCTACCATGTTTCTGGCAGCATATGCCTACAGGGAAGGTATTTGTTCATAAGTTATCTCAAGCAGTACTCTTTATACCCCAAAGCACATGTTGAAAGTCAATTAATTGTATTTGAGAAAGAAGGAGCCAGCTCAGTGGACAAGGCAAGAGGAATGAACACTGTTCACACTTTGAGTTTGGCAAGGCTTTTGACCCATTCCAACACAGTATCCCCAAACCTTAGGAGTTGAGATAAAGACTGGGCGGTGGGCCATAAGCTGTGTACAGAACCAGCTGAACACCAGGCTCACAACTGTGGAGACTGTTCTCCAAAAGACAGAACCCCACGCAATAGGACAGGCAGGGGGACAACTGAGGGAAAACCAATCCTACAGAAAGGCAGCTGGGAGTCTTGGTGGACAACAGTCAACACTGCACTGCACGGTGCCCTTGTGGCAGAGGTGACCAACAACATTGTGGGCTGTAGCAACAAGACAGCAACCAGGAGGGCCAAGGCAAGTGACTGTTCCTCTCCATTTACAGAGCCTGAAGTCCTGTGTCCAGGTCTGGGCTCCTTAGGACCACATACTAGAGCAAGTCCAGCAGATGCCAACAACACAGTTTTAGGACTGGAGCACAGGAAAACAAATGGGTTTGCTCAGGGTCAGAAAAAGGAGAGCTAATTGCTGTCTTTAACAATGTAACAGGAAGGTACAAAGATGATCAAGCGAAGCTTCTCTCAGAGGGGTGCACAGTGATAGCCAAGGCACACCTCGTACTCATTGTACCACAGGAAATTCCAGTCAGGTGTCAGGATATTCTTCCCCTTCCATGAAGGTGGCCTGGAATAAAGGCCGAGTGAGTTGACACATTCCTCATCCTTGGATTATTCAAGGCTCGGACAGAGTAGACTGATCTAGTGATGTTCTTCCAGCCATAGTTATTTGTCAGTTCTGAAGAGCACACATTTAAGTGCCTAATACTCATCAACCTACTAAGAATTCTGCTGAAGTTACTTAGGTACTTTTACTACATGAAAATAGTTGGCAAATACATTTAGGGCTACCACTTTTACAAGAGTTATATTCCATTATCTGTTATATTTTGCTACCTGGTTTGTTTTATTAGTACATTTTTCTCACTAATAAGGGTTATGAGATAGCAAATTCACCGGTAGTACCAATTTTATTTAACCTTAGTTTTTTCAAAAGGACAAAGTATTATTTTTTATATTAGAAAACGTTTACCCACCAGTAATGACCTGCGACACTACTAACCACAGAAATACATCAGCTGCCTGCTGGCACTTACCTTATCTTTTGTATTGGGTATATGTGGCAAGGTTTTGGTAGCAGGGAGCCTGCAGAGGTGCCACAAGCTGCCCCCATGTAAGATGGGGTCAGTGCAGCCAGCTCCAAGATAGACCCACTGCTGGCCAAAGCTGAACCAGTGACAGTGGTAGCACCTCTGTGATAACATTTAGGAAAGGGTAAAAACTGCTGTGCAAGAACAGCTGGGAGAGAAGAGTGAGAATATAGCCATCCTGCTATAGCCAGCCCATGGACATGCCAGAGCAGGCAGATGTGCCCTGAAGGAAGCTGCAGCCCATGGACAGACCCCACACTGGAGCAGGCTTGCTGGCATGACCTGTGCCCCCTTAGGGAACCTACACTTGTGCAGTCCAGTCTTTTAGAACTGCACCACATGGAAAGGGGACCAGCACTGGAAGAGTTTGTGAAGGACTGTCTCCCTTGGCTGGGACTCCATGCTGGAGCAGTGGAAGAGTGTGAGGAGGAAGATGCAGCAGAGAGTGTGTGATGAACTCACTGCAACCCCTACACTGCTTGTGAGGAGGAGGTAGAAAAGTTGGGACTGAAGTGGAGCCTGGAATAAGGGAAGGGTAGGGGAAAGGTATTTTAAGATTTGTTATTTCTCATTATCCTACTCTGATTTTTGATGGGCAATAATTTAAATTCCCCCAACTCAAGTCCATTTTGCCTGTGACAGTAGTGGCAGAGCGATCTCTGTCCTTATCTCAACCCACAAACAATTCATCATGTTTTCTCTCCCACTGTCTAGTTCAGGAGGGACAGTTTGATGGGCACCTGGTGACTAGCCAAGGTCAATCCACTACAAATAGAATTTAGTTATTTTTAAAATAGTTTTCATGATTAAGACACATTCCTAATAGCTTCCATAAACAGCCTCTGCATTTCTCTGACAAGAAAAAAGGGAAATAAAAATTTCTTCCAACTAAAGATTTCTGAATGAAAATTCCTTTGGTGTCCCACTATCCTCAAGTGCTTTAATTCCTCCCGCCCACTTCAACTGCCAGATGTTACATCCCAGACAACATTTACAAAACAGTTCTTACCTGCTTTTATTTTCCTTCCCTTTTATTTTTAATTGGCCTTTGCCTCCAGTAGGGTCCCATTCAACATAGGTATCTTCAACTTTCAAGTTTAAGTGAGATGAAGTACTGTCCAAACTGAACACAAATGCTGATAAGAGAAAATGTAAGACAGTGAAATGGTATAATGCTCTCTCCCAACCAGTGGCTGCTCATAGAAAATGCCAAAGCAGTAGTAAAGCTATAGCAGAGTACTGTTCAACTTACTAGAAACATTAGCTTTTTAGTCTGATACTTGTTATCAAGGTAAGGAGCTCTTAAAATGAAGCCCAACTACCTACCTGCAGTGCACAGGTTACATTAAAGTAAGGTTTTTTCATTCTTATAATGCTGCAATATCAGCAGTTAAATTCAGCTAGTGCTTTCTGCTAGTTACAGCCTACTCCCTACATTCTTGCAATCATGAATATTTAAAATTGCATGCTTATTTTCCATACTCTGCAGCACTGATCCTCCAATAAGGTGTTTATGATTAATAAGTACTGCAAACTTGGAGAATACTAAATTGACAGAGTAGCACATACAGACAGACAGAGTTGAACTGCGAAGTCAACTGCAGATATAAGACAGTAGAGGATGTATGCAACTAGAAGAGACTTTGTATTCATTGTAGCCAAGGCCTTCATCCAAGAAAACAAAACTAACATAACATGCCAAGTTCCCTAAAGATGTTTATTTATAGACTATTCTGTAAGTGTCCTAATACCATCAAATATTATACTCTGATTCTGAAAGAAAGTATACTTGAGATTTCAAGAGTTGAGAGTTAGAGCTGAACAGTACCCAGGTCTGAAAAACAGTAAGGTAAGCTCATAGACAAGGATACTGAATTCCTATGGGCTAATTATTAGAGAAAGTGAACTAAATGCTCAAACAAAAATAATGAAAATATAGAAAGCATAACTGCCCAAAAAATTAAAATCAGGATTATTTTTCTGGTACTGGTGTAAGGAATGTAAACGGCTATTAAATGGATACTATAAATCTGACAATTACTGTTGCTTCAGAATATTAAAAGCATTTTAGAAAAATTACCAAAATGCCCCATCAGTTCATTCAAATTGCATACAGCTTTGTTTTTTATGAAGTAACATTCACACTCAATTTATATTTTATGTATTTTGTATCATTCATTTTCCCTTTACACTATAGCTTTGGCTATAATTAAAGCCTCAAGATCATTATCTCCATCATAATAGTTGTGTTCTGTCATAAAATACCACTTCCAAGATATTTTTTGTTTAGTTTATTTACAAAACTATGTTAGGAAGCCACCACCCTCAGACCAACTGATTTTTAACAAAATGACTTAATAAACTTGAGCAATTTGGAGCTGCCTATTTTTTAATACTGGCAGCAATTAGAATCTACGACTACAAACTAAAAAAAAAACCAAACCAAAACAAAAAAACCAACAAAAATACGCTTTTCAGCACATTTTATTTACAAGAAGCTATTACTCATCACATGTTAAGTAAGAATAACCAGCAAACTACACCAACTGTTTAGATGCCCTGAGAGTCCTACCAATGCTCAGCCACAAAGTTCCTCTTCTTTTGCTGTATCATGATGTGGCAGCACATAGTACTGTTAATCCACAGTTCAAAACCACCAATGTCAAGCTGTTGGAGAAAGTTACATCACTACCTCATTTTTAGTGTCTGAACACTAAGAAGCCAGCTTTGTGCCAATAAATGTCTCAATCCTTTAAAGAAATGTTTGTTTTCCTTTTAACTTAGGACATGTATGTTTCAGCAGTGCTCATGCAGAAACAGGCCTAGCATACAAGTTCATATATGAAGACAGAACTGTAAGTACAAGGTTTCACTACATCTAAGGTTAGAGTTTCTCAAATTTTACCTTTGGTTTCCAGAGTCGCAGGATCGGAGTATTCCCCTGCCACAGCTTTGTTGCAAGCTTTTACTCTAACATTCACGTATTTCTTGTCAAATTTCAGACCTAAAAATTTCAGAGACATGAATTGATATTAATTACTGACAATTTTTATAAGACTAAGAATCTATTCCACGTAGCTGTTTTCCATTTATCTCAAACTGCAAAAAATAAACTTAAATATCAGTGTGAACGTCACTTAACATTTTTTTTTTTTTTTACAAAATCTCAGTAGCAAAATAAAAGGAAGAGCTATTACTGTACAAAACACCCAAGAATAATGTGAAACAATGAAAGCTTCATTATATACAGGAAAATGGATACTCTGCGAAACTCCCAAGCATAAAGAACTATATCAACATTCTTGATTTTTAAGTATAAAACAAACATTTACCTGATATTGTATATTCAGTAGCTTTAATATTGTCTATCACTTCCCAATGCTGTTCGTCTTTTACTCGAGGAAGGCCATCAAAGTTAGTTTTCCTGTACTCCAGTACAAAATGATCAATTCTGCTGTCTTCTTCAGGCATTCTCCATGATACTGTTATGCAATTATCAGCAACCACACAGGCTTCCATGTCTATCTCTGGAGCTCTAGGGACTGCAGAAAGACAAATATACAGATCAGTTTAAAGGAGAGAATGCACTAAATATTAGGGGTTTTTATCCTTGGAGTTCAGAAGTTGCCCTTGGGCCAAGTTACACTCATTCCTTTTAGAGGGTTCATTCCATTAGCAAAGCACCATAGAAGACAGTGTATCACTTTCACTTAACATGCAGTTTACAAAACGAGAAATATGCATTAGCTCTGCAGTGAACATTTGCATCACATTTTCCAGATGTTTTGTCAGTAAGTTGGGCTTGATGCCCTTTCATAAGCAGGAGGAAGGACATGCTAGAGTGGACTAACAATTACAAACCCACATTCAGAATTAATACTACATAGTAAGAACAGTAAGAAGCAAGCTTTTATAGCTTTTATTTCTGAGTCTTTGGAAGGAACTCACAGCTGCAGCCCTCAAACTTTATCACTTAAGGTTACTTCCACCACAGTGAAATAGTTTCACCTAGCCAGTCAGCAGTCATCTAGTTTTCTTTCCTTTTCATCCTTTGCCTTGAAAGAAGTGTAAAGAATCCCTAAGACTGACTGAAGACCAAAGGTTTACTATAGACAAGTCTATTTCCATGAAATGAAAGAGCACACAAGTCACTGGAAAATGTTTTTCAAAAGAAGGCATTTAGATACTCTCTGTATTGTCCCATGTACAGTCAAGGAAGACTTTTGCTGGAGGAAATAAAAAGATGTTTTATTGCTTGCAGGTTTTGGATGAAGGATCTGCAAAAGCTTTTCCTTCATTTCACCATTCACAAAAGCTTGGAATAGATAAAAAAAGTGGCCTGCAAATCAATGTCTCAAGCAGGAACATCAAAACTACAATATTGATGCATCTGTGCAACTGACAGACCTGCAAGTTGTCAAAAATCATTCTTTCTCATAACATACAAACCCTTAACTGTTTTCTGCAGTTACGTCCCAGTGACCAAGTCCTAATTACAACTGCCTTTATGCATCTGAAACAACTAGTTCTTGAAGAGATTGTCAGCCATGATTCCCCTCCACAATGACTGATGACAATCAGCATCACATTAATTATGGTTGACTCTTTTAGAGATGTGTAATTTTATCACCCAGATACCAACACCTTCTAGCTACAGCAGGAAGAAGCTATGACGTCCACTAGAAGCAGGAAGTGTACTTTGCTTTCTGCATACCATTTCACATCTTTCCACACCTTCCCTTCATGATCTGTTCACGTATTTTAACACAGCACTACTGAAACGCAGCTTTTTACCCCTCACATCCCTGCAATTTAAGCCAAGGAGGGATTACACTGAAACTGGTGGTAGAGGTTTAAAAAATTTTTGGACAAAGGGGCAGCACAGAAGAGACTGAATAGACGACATATTCAAATCCATACTGGTTTTGGCTGGGACAAAGTTACATTTCTTCATAGAGGTCGCATGGTGCTATGCTTTTTTACAGTTTTGATAACACAGGTGTTTTAGTTATTGCTGAGCAGCATCAAGGCCTTTTCTGTTCCTCACACTGTCCACCAGCCAATAGGCTAGGCGTGCCTAGGTGCTGCGGGGGGACACAACTGGGACAGCTGACCCCAAATAACCAAAGGGATATTCCATACCATATGACATCATGCTCAGCATATAAAGCTGGAGGAACAAGAAGAATGGGAAGAACCTTCAGAGTTACGGCATTTTGTCTTCCAAAGTAACTGTTACACTTGATAGAGCCCTGTTTTCCTGGAGATGGCTGAACACCTGCCTGCCAATGGCAAGTGGTGAATTTCAACCCACAGGTTTTCTCACTTTTACCCTTCTTATTCTCTTCCCCATCCCACCATGGCAGGGGGTAGTGAGTAAGCAGTAGTGTGTGTTGCTTAGCTGCCTGCCACAGCTGAACCATGACAAATTCTCAAATGTTAATCACATGCCTTCACCATCAAATTTCAAAGTCATCCAAAAATAATTTGAGAATAGTATTACTAAGATCCCTTCTTAGGCAAAATCAAAGTTAAGATGAGAAGTATTTCAGAGCATATACCTGGAAATTTAACTAACTACCCCAACTATTTTTGTGATGGTATAAGATACCAGATAAAGAGCCATCCATGTGTTTGGAGAGACAGAAGTCTTCAGCATAATTCCGGCAAGCAATGTTAAAATACCTGCACCACCACACCACCAAACCTGTTTCCAACTTCCCAAACTAGTACATTAGTATTTCCTGATTTATGAAGGTCTATCAGTGCTTGGTGCAATTTTGCCTGCAACAGTGAGCTGCTGGTATTTAGTGTCAGAGTAATTTGATAGCTTGGCACTACAGTAGAAGAAAGCAAGACTGATAACCGGACAGCTAGTTTTCCTGTTTACAAATCAAAGGCCCAAACAATATAAACTCCTACATATTTGATAAGGAAAATGCACTTATAAGAGAGTTATACTAAATAATATCTTCATCTGTATACAAGACTTTGCTCATGTTTGCTGTTAAATCTTTACACTCCCATTCCTGTTAAACAGGTGCACTGTTTAAGGGCTTACCTACCTTGTTCGCTTACCTACCTTGTTCACTTATCTGTGAAACACAGAGTCTGGGAGGCAATCACTGCTCTAGGACTAAAAGGTGAATTTCTGCCTAGAGACTACTAGCTGACCACTAGGAATAATGCTGGTCATCTACTACACCTGCTACCACATACTGTATCTGCAGCATACAAGATAAGTGTGCAGAAATGTAAACTGAAGCTGCCAAGTCCTTAACAGATTTGGATTAGTGACCTAGAGATGAAACAATTTATACCCCTGCCAGCAGTATTCTTGTCAATATATTCTTGGTAACAGTCAAGGGCAAAGTGGTTGAAATGGTAAAGCAGTATGAATAAAAAGACATGAAAGATACATAGTGCGCCTAAGTTTACTTTCCAGCAGTAACAAATAGATGCATCAATACACATTTTGTATTATTGTAGTATCATTGCCCTAGTAGATTGTCCCTCGCTTGCATTTCAGACTATATCATCACTCTTTAAGGGATGTATTAGCTTGCAGTTCCATGACTAACATTACTGCAGATGACTAGGACTTTAGAGTGTCACTAGCCATCAAGCTAGCAGGTGTAGTCCTGAGAAACTTAAGAACTTCAGGAAGTACAGAACCGGCAACTCAAGAGAAAACACAGTCTGGAAGACTCATTCTCACTTCTGAGATCAGTTATATTCTGAAATTCTATATTATTTAGAAATTAACACAATAAAACTAGAAAACTTTTACTCTCAAGGTCTTCAGCTTAACATCCAATGAGTAAGAACAAGTTCAGGTACCCTGAAAAATTTGCTCATTAGGGTACAAAAGGTATGGTTTTCTTTTGTTTAAATATGGTAAGTTATGCCTGCAGTAACAAATCAAACTCACTACATACAGTTTTTACCTGGCAAAAACTTTATAGCCTGGAGCATGTGCCTTTCCATAGAGAAGTCCACCATCAAGTGAGTCATACTATCACTGACCTTTGGTTTCAGAGAAAGGCGGAACGCTGAAGCCACGGTGACTCTAAAGTCAAGAAAGCAGCATTAGCAAAATGGATTTCACATTGAGTCCTACAGCCATTTTCAAAACCAGCAGATAATCTGTACTGTTGATGTCAAACTGTTAGCCAAAATACTACACCAGAACATTTTTCTGAAGGATAACGGTTTACTATTAGCCCAGACTCCAAAATTTAAAGTTTTCCTAATGGGACTGTCTCAGAATATGGTACAAGCTCCCAACTCTTTCATATGACTACAGAAGAAAATGCTGGAAGTGAGCAAAAAACTTCTTTTACTAGTGAAAAAGCTTGGAAAAGTGACAAATCAAAACTCATACTTCACACAAAACCAAGAAGTACAAGACTTCTAAAGCACTGCAGAAGCAGGATCATACTTTATGTACTTAGAAATCTGAAACTTAAACCTTTAGTTTAAAAACGCCCAAAGACTTTTCTGGTCAACAAGATCCACTCATTACCTCCAAAAGTGCATTTTCACATATTAAATATTGCTCAGAAGGCATTTATAAATAGCAGTGAACAAGCTGAATATTCCAATTTCATAACTACCTCTGATCTTACCAGAGGATGAAGAAATATTTAAGTTGCAGACACCATATTGCTCTGCAACATGCAAGTATCTGATAAGTCTTACAAGATACACCAAAGCACAGCTTCCATTTCCACTTCCCAAATCTTAGCTCAGTCCTTACTCTGAACACTTCTAAGAGACTCCACCAATTACATCACCAAAAAAAAAAAAAAAAAAAAAAAAAAAAAAGGGACAAGTCTCTCTCTTGTGTAGTTCTGTAACAATGAACACATCAGGCCATGCAGAAGAATCTGAGTAACACTGATTCAGACAGCAGGTCTGAAGACAGCTCCTAACTCCTGCTTTAAAAAGGTATATTCTTAACTACAAAGTAATACACACACCACTAAACAAAGTCCACTGCAAGCACTTTCTCAAATTTACACCACAGATCTGTGGCACCCTTAGAACAACTAATAATTCACAGGAAGTAATACACATTAAGTACTTCACTAGTATGTAAGAGAAACTGTGTGCTAACTACAGGTATATTATATTAAAGAATGAAGAAAACCAAGAAATTCAGGTAGTGAAAAAGGGGAAGAAAATATGAAGCCGAGTGTTAAAGATATCGGCATGTCAAGTGACAAGCATTACGATTTTGGGATGTAAGACGATTACGACACTAAACCAAACATCTTAGGAAAAAACAGGTCAGCTGATTTCCCAAGACAGAGCTGACATTCTGAAATTCAGTATGAGCTGCCTAGCAGATTCCACTGCTTGACCAGACAGGTAGAGTAAAAATCACCTTAAGAAAGCATAATCCTCTCATTAGCAGTAAGAGAACACCAAACAGTCAGCTTCAGACAGTTTTTTAACTTCTGCTTAAGACTCTCACTAGGTCATTATCATTCGTCCAAATGAAGAAAAAATGGCCTTAGCATTTTTTTTTTGAAACAGTAATATTTTGCTTTCTAAACAACAGTCTGAAGGCACAGTTCAAATTAAAACTAGTAGAAATAGCAATTTCCCTGACAAAAGGCACTGACATCACCCAAAATATTTCAGCAGCTACCAGACTTCTTATATTCAGAAGAGATATTAGCTAGAAAAGTCCATAAATAATTAAGAATCAAACAGCAACAAGATTCTCATAATTTAAAGGGACAGAGTCAGCTTGAAAAATTATTAAATTGCAGCCATCAAGTATCAATAACAAATTATAAGTTTATTATTAATAATATAGAAATATTATGATAATGATAATAGTAATATCATCATCATAATAATAATGGCTACTGCAGAGCTCTACTTCCCTACATGAAAAATATCTTTTTCTTTACTAAGGCCAACAATCAGCAATGAAAAACACATGAGAAGCATAGAAGTTTAGTGCTCTCTCGAAGTTGTAATATCACACCACTTAGGAAACAGCCAATTAACTTGATTTAAGCTGACTGTGACCCTTTCAAAATAAACGCATTTTCAAGGAAAAGATTAATACAAAGACACAAAAGCGATAGACTTTGTACTGTACCTATCTTTGATATCTCTGCCAGCCTTGATGCATGTCAGGGAGAAGAGAGAGAAAGTAGTTAGTATTTCCATGCATGTATCAATGATGGTAACATGCAAGAAGGTTGAGAAGAATCTCAGCTGTATTGCTCAGATTTGAAGATCAAAATGAGTTTAACATTTTCATTAAGATAAATTTTCTCGTAAAGCACATTAATAGTATTGGTTAGAACTGCAACAATGTATTACAAGGAAAAACCTGATACCAAGAACCACACCAAACTAATTCCAAATGACTCAACTTTCTGGGTGTGACTGTCTCTTCAGATTTCTCTTAATCTGTTAAGTTGATTTCCAACACATCTTGAAAGACCTACTCAACTAAGTCAGCAAAATTTAACTACTACGGTATTTTCTTTAAAATATGAAGTGCTTATTAGTGGCATGTAATCATACCTGACCTGTTTGTGTACACATCACAGGATGCATGTATACACCCTCTGACAAACTTAAAAAAAAAAAAAGAAAAAATAGGGCTTGTTTTCACTTTTCCTCTGAAAAATACTCCCTAAAAGGCTCTCTCCTTATGTCACTATGCAAAACCGCAGACTGTAGTTTTCCTAGCATTAAATGATACCACTGAAGGAGATGCAGAAGTGGTGATGGCATATTTCAAAGATAAACATTAACTGGCATTTGGAAAGACAAAATCTCTGTCCTTAACCAAGAGGAATTGCAACCCTAAGATAAAACATTACTGTTGAAGTAGTGATGGCTTAGTTAGGTCTGTTGAACCCATGCCCGGAGTTGAAGTTGCTACTTGATCTAATTGCCATTCAGCTGAACCGTTCCTTTTCAAAGAGGAGACAAGAAACATCAGGTAGCTTCCCAATTTAAAGTCAAACAAAAGTGAAGGAATTCCAATTTTTTCATTAAATACAAAGCACACCCAAAAAAATTTAAAAAAAATCGCATTGTCCCTGTGTCCCTACTACAAAACCAACTTTATATTCCCAAGGTCAGAAGCAGAAAAAAACCAAAGTGTTTAGAAATAATTTAGCTGAAGAGTTAGCTTTGTTTTACCACAAACCAATGTTACTGTAGGAACTACTGGCTGATCTTCCAAAGCTACTTTAAAATAAAGGTCTTCTTCATAACGTCTACTACACTTTGTGGAATATGTGGTAGCCAGGACTCAGCAGGCTTCTGCAAGACAGGCCTGGCTTAACTCCTTTGAATTTAGTTTGTTTCCAGGCTACAGCCAATGATGAGTATCAGCCCATCTCAGATGAGCTGCCCAGCAGTGCCAAATCACATCCTGTCTTAACACTCCTGTGTGCTCGCATTCATGTTCTTTTGACTTTCCGGTAAGTCAATTCCGCAAATAAAGCCACCAAAAAACTAACACAGAAAAAAAAATTAAAGTAATCTTAGTTTAGTCTTATGCTAGTTTCTCCTGAACTGATTTACTGGAGGATCTGAAGAAAATTTCAGCCAATAAAAAACAGTCAAGGCTGAAGCTGTCCTGTGTTCCAGGAACACTTGGTATTCCCATTAGCAGAAAAATAGATTTACCTAACTAGTAGCTAAGGCAATATTACCTTAAAATGCCATATCCAAAGGCATATTTACAAATGTAAGCTAATGTAAGACAAGTTTCAAATCTTAGAGTTAAATGAATCACATTTCAGTATCTTAAATACGAGACACCAAATTTGAAACTCCCAGCAAACACTCAACTAATTTTCCTAAATGTATTTGACTTTAAAATGTACTGGATACATCTAAAAAGAAACAACTTAAAATAAATTCAAAGCTACATTCTGCCTAGTGCTCAAGATCTAACTTAAGTGTTACACATCAGTATGATAAGACAGAAAGGACAACTCAAACTTAAGTGCTAAGAAAAATACTCAGTTTTGGAACTGTCACACTTCAAGGCAAATAAATCAAAGGTGACACTCAGGAAGCACAACAGCATACAAACATGTTGCCAGAATGTATAACTGACACATTAAGACAGCTTTCCTCCCCACTTTTTTAGATTGACTTATGTTCCTCGTTCCTGTTAAAATGAAGACGAAAGTAACTGGGTCTTGGATTTGGCCCCACTACTAATGAGAAGATTATGCTAGTAAGCCTAGGGTACTGAGTCAGTATATTTGTAGAACTGTTTCACTAATTTGTAAGTATATTCTTCCAGTTAGATACAAACCCACTGTGGTAAAGTACACATTTGTATTGGAATTGCAATGTGAGGCCAAAATCAGGCTCTCACCTATACAGCATACAAACGCATTAGAAGGTTGCAGAACAGAGGAAGACTTGCCCTGCATTCAGTTTCATAGGATCTTTCAGTACAGCTAGAGAGTTCAGGGTTGCAAATGAAAGACTCACAGGTTGCATAAAGTTCTGCAAAACAAACAGCTTGTCATCCACAGACAGCTGCAGCTACATTCATTCATAGAACATTTTAGGTTGGAAAGGACCTCAAAGATCATCTAGTTCCAACCCCCTGCCATGCAGGAACATCCTCCATTAGACCATGTGGCCAAGGCCTTCTCCAGACTGGCCCTGAACACTACCAGGGATGGAGCATTCACAACTTCCTTGACAGCCTGTTTCAGTGTCCCACCACTCTCACAGTAAAGAACCTCTTCCTTACATCTTACCTAAATCTCCTCCGTTTAAGTGTGAATCCATTACCCCATGTCCTATTGCTACAGTCCCTGATGAAAAGTCCCTCCCCAGCATCCTTGTAAGCCCCACTTCAGATACTGGAAGGCTGCTATGAGGTCTCCCCAGAGCCTTCTCTTCTCCAGGCTGAACAGTCCCAACTTTCTCCAGCCCCCTTATCCTCCACAGTGATATGCCCTGTCACTGCCCTCCCTTTAATCTTGGCCCATAAGCTTTCAGATGGTTCATCAATCCATCCCCAAGCAGAGTTCGACACACTCCATCTGCTCATTGACATAAAGGGCTATAATCCCTGGACTGTCTTTCCCAAGAAGCCTGTAACCTTCCATTCCGACACTCCAGTCATAGGAGCCATGCCACCACACATCCATGATGCCAATGATTATTATATCCCCATGGACATGCACACACCTCTAATTTCTCTTGTTTATTCCCCATACTATGCACATCTGTATAGAGGCATCGGAGCCAAGCTCCAATAAAGCTGACTCATTGGCTGCAGTGGTTGAAGTAGCCCTGCACTGCTCCAAGCATTCACTGCAGGTGCTGGCATATGACTGGTAGTTTTGGGATGGATCAATCCCCCCTCCCCCAACAAATCTAGTTTAAAGCTGCCTTCACCAGCCTGACAAGTCTCCTACCAAAGATGCTCTTCTCCTCCTTGTCAGGTAGACTCCATCAGTCCCCAATAGACCCAGCTTCCCAAAGGAAGTCCCATGGTCTAAGTAACCAGAAGCCTGACCATGGCACCACCCCTCTTAACCATCTGTTAACCTGCCAGATTCACCTCTTCAGTGCCCTCTCCTTTGACCTGGAGAATCAATGAGAAAACTATCTGAGCTCCAGAGCCCCTTACCACCTTTTCCAGGGTTCTGTAGTCTTTCTTAATGTTCTGTAGACTGTTGCTAGCTGTATCACTGGCACTCACTAGAAGTGGGTAATAGTGGGACTAACTACACTGCGCAGCCTCTCCACAACATCTGTAATCCAAACTCCCAGTAGGCAACACATCTCCCCCATGAGGCACCTCAGCCAGGCTGACAGATAGTTGACTCTGTGCCTTTCAAAGCAGAGTCACCTACTACTGTCACCAACCACCTTTTCTTGGATGCAGCAGTAACTACCTTCTTTAGTGACAGGGCAATTGGCTTTTCTTCTGTTGTGAAGTGTTGTCTTGTTAGTCGCCTGCAGAGCTGCAAAGCAAGTGACTCTCTGCAACTGTCATGCAAGAGTACCAGGCAACTGATGGGTCACCTGCCACAGCTTTGAGTTCTGGCCATCACACACTTCGTACATCTTGGTACAGTTTGAGAGATTCATTTTACCCTCACTTCCTGGGTTCACTTACCTAGCATCAGTGAAAGTTTGCTTAACACTGACTGTTGCCTATGTGAAGTCACTCTTTTCCCTTCCCCATCACTCTAAATTAAGAAAAAAAACCCATCTCACTTATTTTATTAAGAGACTGTATAAAGACTCAAGACAATAATGCCTGACTCTGCCTCCTCAACAGAGCATTAACTGTACTTTCATATGCTTCTCTATTCTTATTCTCCATATTCCTGGTAAGCTTGCAGGGTCCAGTACAGTAAGGCAAGGGTATTTCAGACTGAGACAAATACCAACATCTGCTTACACACATTCATTCAATGTTTTCTACCTTTAAGAACTCCACAGGGTCCTTTATGTCCAGTGACTGAGTAGCAAGCTCCAGCAGCTCTTCAGAACTCTCTAGGGCATTACGACATTGGCTAAGCTGATCCTGAAGCAAAAACAGAAAGCAAAAGTAATTAGATGTATTCACATTAAAAAACCCATTTATAAACTACCAGTACTAGAACAACATGGCTTTGCCATTCCTCTTTAACAGCTTAATACCTTTTCTAATCAAGGCTATTTGACACACCGCATTAACTAGAACTTCACTGTGGTTGACAACCTACAGTTAGTTTTCTACTCATGTGATACTTACTGTAGTATCTCAGAGCAAGTCAATAGCAAGTAATTCTTTTTCTTTAAAACACTTCAGGAAACACAGCTTGCTCTAAGGTCATCACTGCCTCAAAAGCAACTAACAGGTGCACCAACTTCAAGAATAGACCTGTCTCAAGTACTTCAGACATGTAACTAGTTCTGGTAATTGTGGTGAGTTGACCTGGGCTAGTTGCCCCTCGGATTTACTGTTCAGAGATAAAACAGCAGCAAGGAAACAGTCCAACAGCTAGAAGTTAGTACACGGTTTCCAGATAACTTCTGAAGCACGCCATTAATGCAAGCTGTCATTCAGCTACTACAGCTGCTCTCCTCTTTTAAGGATATCCAGTGCTGACACTCAGATACACCATGACACTCCCAAAACATCCCAGACAAACACCTCAAAGGAGAGAAGCAAACACCAAAGGCATTTTCAAATAGATTTGCAGGAATGACACAGGAACTGGATGCTTCCATTAGCATCCAAGCTGCATCTGCATTTCAGAGTTAAAAACAAATACTTTAGTGTTATTAAATACACCGCCCCAAAATATAACAATATTTTCAAAGGCTTAAGGAAAATTTCCAATTTTCAGCCTTACTTCCAAGGGAATTATTTTGGAGCAATCAGTCTAAATATTAAATCCTCACCCTTTTCCACCACATGTAGCCCCAGTATTGTAAGTTACAGCTTATTCTTCACAAGAACATCTTGTCAACTACAGAAGACTAATTACAGCACAAGCACAATAAACTAAGGACACAAGGACAATAAACTAAGCAAGCCCATTCCTTTAAACAGGATGTTTATATCTCACTGAAGTTTCTTCACACAAAGCTAATTTTCAGTTCCAGCCAAAGATAATGGCTTGAATTAATACATTCAATGCAATAGTTTTCATCTATTAGTTTGGTTTGGTAGATTGAATGTTGCGAAAAACACTCTTGCAGTGCCTTATTTAGAGGAAGCTTGGTCTGTCATGAAGTAAAGAGAATGTCCTCTGGGCCCCTAGTTAGAGAACAGCCTCAGCTGAAGAACAGGCAAGGCACTTAACAACTGTGTCAGTGATACATAACATTCCACTTGTCTTCATCCTCTTCTGTCGAAGCAGCAGCTCAGCTGTCCAACACAGATACTGGGCACCAATTCTTGATACAGCTGTACCACGTTAGCAAGCTTTCAGAAGAATTAGGTTCAAACACACCTGAGCTTGATCAAAGTAGATTATATTTCAGATATTAACACAAAATTACAATCATCAAGAGTAAGGCTGCCAGACGAGTAACTATCAAATAGTTTTCAGTTCCAGAATAATTACTTGCAAGATTAACTCTAGGTTTTCTTTACCAGAAGGTAGAAAAATTGATACATGCCCCAGCTGAATTTCACCTGTGAGCTGTTCGTTGTTCATTCTTTAAGCATTTAAGTCGTAAGCATGCCTGGATACGGGTAGACCTCTGTCTGTTGAGAAACTTCAGAAGGACTTAGAATAGACATTTGGGGAGAAAGATAAAATTGGAGGTTAAAAAGTGCACATAGGTGCCTAACTTAAATTGTGCCCTGAGAAGTTCTGGAATGTTTTACACCCAGACTTTTCCGTATGGACATACACAGACCTTATATAAAGAAGCCTGTGGAATAAGTTTCAGGAAACTGCCTTTACGACTTCTTTAAACTGACTACACATGAGAAGGGGAAGTTTTTCAGGAACAAATATCATCCTTACTCCTCTGCATAAGCAAAAAGAGCTAGACAGCAGAATGCCACAACTAGGATCGTTTAAAGAAAAATGCTGGAGAAACAACTTCTGCTTAGAAGCTAGAGCCAGCTTGCTACATGCTACTGGGTGGGGGGGAGGGAGAGGGAAAGACTTTATACATGTTTCAGAAAGTTAACGTTTTCCATTCCTCTCTGAAACCCATCACAAAGATGATTCTTCATGAAACTATAAAACTGCAAGCTGCCAAAACTCACACAGTAGGTTTAATAGTGGGCACCAGCATAACCTCTTCCCAAGCAATTCCCATATGTCTTTCAGTGTGCATATACAATTTCCTTCATGTTAAATAGTGGAGCAGACAGTTCAGTCCAAAGGAGACCAGACTTCGTGCTTAAGATACCTGATGTGATTCTCCAAGTTCAAGCCCAAGTAAATCACTCTGGCATGCATACAGGTTCAGATGCTAGTATTCCAAACTGGAGAAAGACACCAACTTCAGCCCAGAAGGTGTTCATTAGTTTGAAGGTAAACACAAATCTAAGTCCTGCCCTCATGCAGCCACTCTCCACCTGTAACCTCTACAGCTAAGACCACTTCCTTTCTATATAATAACCTGGAGAACATAAACACACTAGACACCATTAAGTACCCAAGAAGAAAGGACCAGAGAAGTACTTGTATCAAAGAAAACATTTACATTGCACTTTCTGCATTTCTTGAAACACTACCAAAAAATCTCACTTTCAGTTGAAGTTTAAAATAGCACTTTAAAACTGCTTCTATTCAGCTGCAAGAATTTGCAGATGTAGTTATACAGTTACCTGCAGAGCCTGAATTTTATGAGCCGCCTCTTGCCGAATAGTGTTGGCCATAGTCCCACTCATCTCACACAATACAGAATACAGACGATCAAATTCTTCATCCAACTCACTGATTGCACTAGAAGAGTTCACCTGAGAAGAGAATTGAAACTGATGCAATTTGTATTGGAAACAGTGCAGGCTAGGCTTTTAGACTGTAAGTCACACTGTTTGCCTGAACATGCTTTGCCATAATCACTGGATACTTTGTCGCTGCTCCCCACCTTATCAAGAGGGAAGAAACATTAGGAATGATGGACACCTACTAACCAAACTTTACATCAGGACACTGAAGACTGAAATCCATGCAAATCCCAGGACACTTGCACAGAACCAACATACTTGGCAACCTTGTTCCATGCCAAAAGGCCGTGACTTCCCTCTCTCCTCTACATATACACAGATTGCTAGATGTTTTTAAGGAGGTAGTTATACAGTTCCACATAAAATGGCTTCATTCAGTACTAAAAGCTGCACTCAAGAAGCCATCTTAAAGATCTCTTGGATGATTTCCATTTCTGCTGTTAACTTGGCTCAGCTTTAAACACAAAACAAATTACAGTTTATTGACAGGCTAAGGGAAGCAAAACCTTATCCTAGTGTAGATGCTCTAAAAATTAGGTCTAACTTAAGCCCAGAATTTACAGCTACTGAAAAGAGAAAGAGCACAGATTTTTTCCCACAAGTATCATGTATATGGTCTCATTTATGAGTCTGCACAGCAGACTGGAAAAAAATGAGATAGACTACTTCCAAATAACAGGATTTGGAGATCTTGCATCAAAATCCATATTCTCTCTTCCACACAGATCAAATCCTACTATAGCTTTTCACATGAAAAGCAAAACCATCATGCCTTTGTACTAGAGACAGACATAAAAGGCAAAATGTTTTTCTATCCAATACGAATACGTATTTTAAACTTCACTGTTGTAGCCTTACACATTACCTAACCAATTTGAAACTGACAAAACTGGAAACAAAACTGCTCCCCTCTCAACTACCACTTATGAGTCTTAACATATGTATATACACACACATACCTGAACATTCTTTATTGTGTGGTTCAGGATGTCAATGAAGTTGTGAATTTCATCATTCTTGTTTGCTAGAGTAGAGACAATCCTTTGCAGAGTTTCCTAGAATTACAAAAACAAGTGAGAGAAGTTGTAAAAAAAAAAAAAAATCCACAAAGAAACACAGAAAAAAACACCCCACACAAAAAAAACCCCACAAGCCAACAAAAACAAAACAAAAAGTTCTAATTCTGTTAACCATCACCATTTTGTCATAGATGGAAATTCATTATATATATTACAGTTGTAGCAAATTCAACTCTTACTCTGAAGGGATCAATAATAAGAGTTTGTTCAAGAAAGAGTAAGTAAAGTCTGAACAGCATTCCACCAAGCTAAAGATCTCCAGCTGTTAGTTTAGGAGAAATCACGAGTCTGTTTTACAATACAATGCATCATTTCGTATGTTTTACTGAAACTCCGAAGTCATCTAAACCAGACTACCTACTGGCATCACACTCTACAACTTCTCCAGATGAGAAAACTAATGCTTGTGCAACCAGAGAACCAATAGAGGAAAGAAAAAAAGCTGGTAAAAATTAACCCAGGAGAAAAATTAGTATTTCCTATTGTCAAAAGAAGCTACTGTTTAATAACTAAGCTGACAGTTTATTCTATAGACAGAATAAATCTAATGTTGATTTGAAAATTTATTTCACAAGTGGTAAAATATTCTGGTGAATAATTTACATATTCCACTTAAAAGTGACCTCAAAGAGGAAAGCTTACTGACAGCTGAGAAAGAGAATCAACGTTATTTCTGTGGTACACTACTCCAGCTACTAAACAGCAGTAGATTCAGCTTACAGAACACCTACTAAGCAGGAAAAAAAAAAAAAAAAAAAAAACAGTTAAGCACATCAAAATGCATTTTTAAATTAATTAAGACTACCAAGTTTAGTTATGTTGAGTACTCAATCACTTTCTAAGAATTTGACATCAACGCTTGGTACGTAAAACTACATCAAGTTGTACAAGTTCAGAGCACATCAGCATATGCAAGTAAAAATAAAGGACAATGAGAGGGAGTAACTAGGAATTTTGTTATTCAGTTCTGGCTGGTTGATAGTAACTTCTATAAACAAAACTGATTTCAAGTTGCTCAGCTTAACATTGTTATTTAACAACATTTAGGAAATTGAGGCATAGGGAGCAAATAAGCACATCTCAAAAACAGCCAGACCATCAAAAAGGTGTTGCAGAGGTCCCTCCCATATGCATTTTTTTAATTAACATTTACTACTTGGATCACATTTGTTTTCTGAAAAGAAAGTATTTTTTCCGTACACAACATCCGCAGCAAACCCCAACACTACACCCCACACGAGGAATCTCTCCACTAGTCCTAAATCATGCCCAAATCTGTTTGTTCTCACACCGCTTCCTCAGCAGTTTTGAACAAATCTGCAATGATGTATTTTTTGTTACTTCAGCCTGCTGTCTGCATACTGCCACGCTCACAAAGTTAAAAGCACCAGTGAAAATTTACTGCTTTTACTACATATGTTCTGACAGTGTTATGTAAAAATACAATGGACCAGCTATGACTGCAGTGACTGAAATTAGGACTTTGAGGAAAACAAACCAGACCAGATTGGCTTCTTTCAGAAACAAAGAGTACAGCAGGTCTTGATCACTTCATTACAGAATCTCTCTATTGTCTGGTTAAACAGAACGTATTTAAAGACAATTCTGCACACACCAGAATGGCAGATGAAACATCATTGTCCAACCAGCTGCTTCTGCATTCGCTACTGACCAGCGGCAATTGTTTTGCTATGTCAGACAGCCTGCAGTTAAGCCTTATATCCTATAAGCGTAACTGTCAATTTGGATGAACAAGAAAACTCCCAATCCTCTTCCAGCCAGGATTTTAGGGCTTACTCAGTTACACCACATGGGAAAAAAAAAAAAAAATTAGTCGTCTTGAACCCAGTACAACTGAACTATGTTTAGGGGCTTTATAGCTTCATATGATTAAAGGAAAAGATCTACATGGGAGGAGGTGCTTAGAAAGCCTCTGCACAGTGAAATGCATGGCAGCAACTGGAAGATGACCAGCAAACAATGTTCTCCACTTCATCTAAAGTTAAAGTCAGCTGACCAAACAGGGATCAGTACAGCTCTTTTGAAATAAGCTACCAATTTCTCAAAACAGGAATTTTACCAGGTTTGGTCAAATTTGAGCAATTTTAGACACCATGTACAAATGCAGATGTAAGAGGCCTAAAAATATCCACCAGCAGTAAACTGAATTTCTTAAAAAGCAATACACAGAAAGCCAGCTTTTAGGAATCACTAACATACAGCATCGTCTAGTGCAATTTTCTAATCACCAATACGTAATAAAGACACATGCCAAATTCAAAACACTGCACTGTTGCCATTTCCTCCTGTAACAGGCATTTCTGAAAAGTTACTACAATTACATGTACCAAAAAGGGTGCTAGAAAGATTACCAGCATAAGCAGCAGCTGATGCATGCATTCTAAGTTACTTCACAAAAGGACTACAACAGCACCATGCTCTGTAAAGCTTCTTGGTATTTCTACACTGAAGGAAATTTACATCTATTGCCCACTGATGGATGCAGTATTTCGCAGAATCCTATTACAACTAATTTCCTCCTAGTTCACTCCAGCTAGCATGTGTTAAGTGAGGTCAGTTTCAAATTAACTTTCAAAACATTATGGCATGTTTATCACAGAAGTGATTTTTGGTGCTATCAATGAGCTTCATACTGCTTTTCACTTTTACATCCTATTCTCACTCTGAATCCAATACATTCTTGGCAGAAAAAAACAGCTGTGGCATTTGTAAAGCAAGTGCCGACGCACAAGGGATGAAGAACATGCAACGATATGAAAAAGGATAGAAAGCCTTTTATTGCAAGCCAACATGTGGTGGCTTGTTATCTTGCCAAGAGCATAAAACTAGACAATATACCCTCCTTCAAATAGCTAGTAACTAACATCACATAGCACCTGCTGAAGCAGATGAGTACCTCATAAAAGTTAGAATAAACTTTGATAAACAGTTTACATCAGTTCTGTTTAAGAAGCATGCTACCAACTTGTTCAAGATCATACTGAAGTCTTATGACACGACTGGATGCAGGACAGAATTTAGCATTTCTGAAGGCTTAGGACAAAATCCTAAGTCATACCAACCTTCACATGCAGATTGGATTTTACACTTTCTTAGCCTCCATTAATTTAATCTTCTGCACTTGTCCACACATTGAAGTTGCCTGAGTTTGAAGACATACTTAAGACAATACAACTGACAACAGCAAATTAACACAGTATTGTAAAATAAAAGATCAACTGCAAATTTACTACTGTATTAGGAACCTCCAAGCAAAACTGAAATTCAAATAAGAACAATGACACCACTCAGGAACATCAACGTAAAGCACCCACAACAGATGCAGCCCTCATTTACTCCTCAGCAGAGACTAATCTCGCATAAAGCAGGCAGAGGCAGACAGACTCAAATCCACACAGTATCTACCAGAAGCACAATTTTTTGGCTTTTCACATCTCACCTTCCAAAGCACAGCTAAGCTTCAAGCAGCAGCACACAAACCCTTAACCAAAATAGCAAACATCTGTCATCTGTAAATTTCAGGCCATTACTCAGACCCTGCACACAAACCAGTTGCCAAAATAAGGAAAGCACCGTCTTCACAGGGGCAGTAACAGAAGCCCTTCTGCACTACTAGACTGAAAGCCAAAAGGCTGAGCCAGAACTTCTTCCGACAGAGGATCATTTTTAGAAAGCCCAGCCATCGGCCAGGCACATCCCTGCTCCTCAGCGATTTCCCTGAGGGGGCAGATGGCAAATACGGGAAAGAGGGAATTACAGGGGAATAAACAAGCCAACTACAGAACGCTTTTATTAATTAGTTCCCTTCAACACAGGATGCCATCAACGGGAAACAGAGCGGCCTATGTGCACACCATAATTACTTATGACAGGAATACACAGTGTGGAAGAGCTCTACGGCAGAGCCGCGCCTCATT